TAAAATTGTATCTTTAAACCATACTAATATTAATATTTATATTTATATTGTGTAACAACATTATTAAATAAATTTATATTAGTATAAAATAATTTATTATAAAATAACTAATGTAATTAATGTTTATTTTAACATTAACAAAGTAATCAACAAAGTAATGTTAAGATGTTTTATAACTATAATTGAGTATTTCAAGTTATTTTAATTAATAGTACATCTTGCTAAAATATCAAGAAATATAAATACTTGTATTTATTTCCAGTACGTGGATGAGGTTCTAATTTGCAACGATAAATTGTAGGATCGCGCATACATCCGTTTGTTGACTGATAATCAATTTTTGCTCTGACACAATATTCTTGGCCCATCTTGGTACCACGTTTCATTTCTTCCCACAATTTCAGATTTTCGAAAGAGGCTGTAAAGGCGAAATGCTATTATTAGAATCGAGATAGTTAGAAAATTAATGCTTTTTTCTAAAAAATTATTATTTACAGAGATCTCGATATTCAGATTTCAATCTTTTATCTCGTTGTTCTTTCATAAGATTCGCCGGGGTACAATCCAGATATGCCTTTCCATCCTTAATTAGTGTAGTACAATATTCTTGTAATATATCAAAGTAATCTGAAGTATGCGTAAAACGGTCAGGTTTAATTTGCAGTAATTTTAAATCTTCCAATATAGCTTCCTCAAATTCTATAGTCTCCTTCGCTGGATTTGTATCATCAAATCTCATGATAAGTTGTCCTTGAAAAATCTCAGCATAATACTGATTTAAAAGAGCTGCTTTGGCATGACCAATGTGCAAGTAGCCACTTGCTTCTGGTGGAAATCTTACCACTACCTACAGAAATAAATAAAAAAATTTTTAAAAATTATGAAAGTTTAAAAATCAAATTAATCTATTTTATTGTACTGTACAATGTAAAATTATATTGTACTTTACTTTGCCCATTTCTGCTCCAGGAAGATCAATAAATTTGCCTTCTTGTTTCCTTGTTTTTGTCTGCTTGATATCAGATTTTTCTTTTTGCGAACTTACATCTTTTGGTTTCGAAGTTGAAGAACAATTTTTTGCAATCACAGATATTGCATTACTAAAAACAGGAAGCGATTCCATATGCTTGTACCATCTAGTAATGTTACAATAATCTTTTGCATATGATTTTATATATTCGTGACGATGCAAAACGCAAAACACATGAATATCAGCCAATGTTAATCTTTTGGTGACCAGCCACGTCCGTGTTATTAACACATCATTCAGATAGTTTAAAAGTTCCTTGTTTATTTGTTTATTTTGCAATATTAGAGCACAGGACATCCAGTGATCGATTTCCGTCCTTTCATAAGGACAGGTACCGCCTAATAATAATAAAATTATATATAATAACAAAGAATGTAGGTGAATTACATAGCAAGATATATCTTAGTTGGTTTTGACATATTTAACAAAAAAAAAACCTATATTTAATATCAATAAGATCTCTAGATTTTTTATACTTAAATAATCATAAAAATATTTGCAGAATATATACCATAAAGTAGGGGATTAATCGTCCTTGCTAAATTTCGAGTAATTTCATTATTATATTGTCCCAATAATTTGTGATCTTTGTCATACAAGCAAACATCCGATTCATCATTCCAAGTGTTGTTCCATAATATAATTATATCTTTCTTTTCAGAATTAATTACTTCGGCTACTACCAGCACGTCTATAGAAAATTTCAAATTCAGATAAATGATATAAACAAAATCATATATTTTTTTATATTATCATTTTTATATATTGTCTTTAATATCGATATTACGTAATATTAATGTTTAAAAATGGAACTTAATTTCTATGACTACAGCAAACTAGTCCATCTAATAAAAAAGACAAATACTAAAAAAATTGTTAAATTTATAATTTAAAACAATAATTATTTATTGTCATAATTAATATTATGTTGCTTTATTTCAAGTTAAACTACATCATTTTATATAAAATTAAATTTGATGTTACACATTTTATGCTAAATTAAACTTTATGATAAATCTGCTAGAATATCGATATATAGACGGCTATTTAGAAGTTTTAAATATTGAAGGTTAAAAAAAATTAATGTTTCAATGGAAGTCTCCATTTAACTTTTAGTTTTACAACATCTGTTCAACATTTATTTTCGATATTTCATAAGGAGTGTAAGTTCAAAAAAACAAGTTAGATCAATACCAACACAATACGTTGGTTGCAAGCTGATGAAATTATTGAAAGAGTTTCATTTGTTTCTTAGTAATTTATGTATTTTTTACGTTCACACTTAACATAACAATGTGACACGCTAAATTGCATGATATTATCGTCAGAAGTGTTTTTATTCATTGTTTATGACAAAACATCTGGTATAATTGTCCTGAATATTCGACTTGATGTTGTATGATGCAACAAGCATAAGGAAGCATCGACAAATGGAGCGATACAGAAAATAAGATAAATATAAACTATAAAAATAAAAAGAAAAAAAATTAATTTAAAAAAAAAGAACTTAAACACTCGCTTCAATAATTGTCTTGTGTTCCGAAGAACGTTTTAGAAACTAAAAATAAAAGTGACGTGAAATTTGAACTGGATTGATCGTGTAAATCTTACCTAATACGTGATTAACTGGGTTGAGGGTGATCGTAAACGCCATTGTCTCTTCATCCACACTAAAATGAAAAGAAGCAGACTTAACATCAACGTGAACCGATTAAGGTTAGTAATCACATTAAGCATTCCATGCGAATTTCCATTAGGGCACACAAAAAACTTAAGTAAAACTAAGTAGTAAGCGAATTGATCAATTACGATAGAAATAAGGCCATAACGTAAGCAGTAGTCCAACATGTTGATTTTCTTACTTATTTATTTTTAGAATTTGTCCATCTCGTCCAATTCGTCCAGAGGATCGCATGGTCTTAGCAGCATCTACAACAAGACTGAACTAAAGCCGGAAGCCTCAAGCAGAAAGGCCGACACTACCGGAAGGAAGGCAGGTAAAGGTTGCGCATGCGCAGCAATCACGTATTTATCTGTCGCGTTGCTTGCACTTTTTACACCAAGCATCTTCGTTTTCTTTCTCTTTGACGCACGAATATATATTTATCTCTTTTAAATGCAAAAATTTTTAGAGATTTCAAGCAACGCGAACAGATCTATTAACTCGCATTTGTTACTCGGTTTCCTCTTCAAATTTAAACTTCAAGAAAATTTTGTATGTATAGAATACATATAAGGTACACGTATATATATATATATATA